GTTATGCCCCTCACCGTTGCAGTACCCACATCGCCTAATTTGCTTCTCGACCTTGTTCTTCGGCACTTCTTTTCGCTTGCGTTGTTTTCGTTGAGGGTCACGAACATTGTTTACTACAATGCTCTGGTTGACTGAATGATTCAAACCAAACGAGTTTTCTAATTCTTCTATTAGTTTTTTCATCTCATCTCTTGCGGTTTTGAAAGACTCGTCTGTCTTTGATGCAATGTAGCATAACCTACTTGACGTTGAACGTAGAGCAGCGAACCTTGCCATTTGCATCACTTCTGGAGACACATTCAAATCAACATAGCTGGGTGCAGAAGCCTTCGCATCATTAGTCCACCTACTTTGAATCAAAGTCCCGGGCAAATATGTGTAGTCCAATTGCTTCAAAATGTGAAGTTGATGGCGACACGGAAGTCCAACGGTCTCGAATTTTTTGCAGGAGCAAATTAGAGTTTTCGTACGAGAATCAAAACTAATTTCAAATTTCCTATTTTTTTCTGCGTACTTTGACAAAATATAATGTTGACATTCATCTGATAAGGACTTAATCTCTGCCTCAATCCGGTACAATGTCTCCCGTGTAAGTTCATCTTGGAACACACGAAAAGATTCGCGGGTTCCCTTACGTGCACTAAACCCATGTTCCCGTGCGAATCCCTTGTAAAAGTGCCAAGCTTGATCACGTGAACAGAAGAGCTGACCAACCAATCTGTCAGATTCATCAACATTATGTACTTCATGGCATTCCTCGGTTGGCTTAACATTGTCTACATCAGTATTATCCATGGCAAAAATTTTGTTGTGCAAGTTCAGTGCTCCAGGAGTTGATGGATATGTAAACGAAGGTTCATTTTGAACATGTTTCTGTAGTTAAAGGGTGGGTACAACATTAAATTCGCAGTACATATTTAGGTATGTACAATAACTACAAGTATATTATCATTTTAAATTCGCAGTACACTGTTAAAAAAATTGAAACATAAATTACATAAGTTTTAAAAAAAGTATCGATCCTTTTTATAAAAAGTATGGACACTTTCAATATAATAGGTAAACATATGATGTAATAGGTAGCCCTTATATAATGTAATAGGTATCGTTTATATAATGTAATAGGTAATGGTTATATTGTAAAGTGTCTATCCTTTTTATAAAAGTGTCCATACTTTTTTCACTGTGGAAAACATTAATTTAAGGTTATCTTTTGAGTGAGTTTTAAGATATTAATTTAGTAATTATAGGCGTCTAATGATTTATTTTTTACGTTACGGTATATATTATTATTAAATTAAAAATTCTAAATAATATTTTATAAAATATCAAAACAATCAAATAATTTTTTGTGCAAATGAAATTATTAAATCAATATTGTAGGTGGAAAACATGAAACACTGTTAAAGTATCGATCCTTTTTATAAAAAGTATGGACACTTTCAATATAATATAATGTAATAGGTAAATTTGCAATGCTATCGGTATAAATATACTGGTTTACTTATAAAATAGGTAAATATAAGCGCTACCTATTACATTATATAAGCGCTACCTAGTATGTTATTGTACTTTATAATATTTCCGGTTAAATAATATAACATAACCGGTCTAAATTTTAACCGGTCACTTGTTTAACCGGTCACTCCGTATATTAGCCGTTTTTTAGGCGCCGCACCGCAGAACGACCCGAGTTCTCGTGCCAGAATACTTCAATAAACTATTATTATTATTATTATTATTATTATTATTATTATTATTATCATTATCATTAGGATAAAATATATAAATTATATCGATTATAAGATGTTACTTTATCGAGTCTTTTAAATATTAAAAGTTACAAAATTGTCCTATGATTATAAGTTATTTTTTTAGTGTTTCGACTATTAAAAGTTATAAAATGATCATCCGGTTATTCAAATATTTCAAACTCTTCATTTTCTGTAAAAATTTTGATGGTCGTCTGAGATGGACGTTAACCTGTTGACTAGGAAATGCTAAAATCTGATCACATAATTATTTTAATTGTATTTTATGGATCGAATATATGTTTACATTATGACGTCGAGCCAGTGCTTTGAAGTAACGACGATACCAATAGACATCATTAATATATGATTTTATCATATCTCAATCAACATGTTAATGTCCAGCTCAGACGATAATCAATTTTTTGACGGGGAATGACGATTTTGGAACATATGAATAGTCATATGATCATTTTATAACTTTTAATAGTCGAAGACTCAACAAAACAACATTTTATAGTCGGAGGATCATTTTATAACTTTTAATAATTATGATACTCAACAAAGTAACACCATGTAGTCGAGGAACCATTTGTTTACATTACTCTTCTTATTGATGGATTAGCTTAAACTTTTAATAGTTGGACGATTTTTAGGTTTGGTTAGTTGGCTTTAGGTACATTGATGGATTAGCTTAAACTTTTTGATTTCATAATGTGCAACTTTAATAATAATATTAATTACTTTTGGGGTATAATCATCATATTGTTTTTGAAACTTTTGATGCTCGTGTAATAAAAAAAATTAAAAAAAAGTTTGGGTGCCAATGGATTCATCAATCTACGAAAAGCTTCTCCTCGTTCTAAATAAAAAATTAAAATTAAATCTCGAAATCTCACGAGCTTACAAATTTTAAATTCGATTGGAGCTTGAAAAAACATGACGCTCAAATTTAAACTCGAACATAAACTTTAAATACATGAAAATCTTCTATTATATTTTATTTAAAAAAACTACGTATGAATTATAAAAAAATTAAAATTAAATCTCGAAATCTCACGAGCTTAAAAATTTTAAATTCGACTGGAGCTTGAAAAAACATGACGCTTAAATTTAAACTCGAACATGAACCTTAAATACATGAAAATCTTCTATTATATTTTATTTAAAAAAACAATGTATGAATTATAAAAAATTAATTTAAAAATCTAAAAATTTAATATATTATTTTCAGGTATCAAATAACTCGTTTTAGCTCGTTAAGAATTTGAGTAGAGTTCAAGCTCGAGTCAAGTTCATTTAATTCGTGAGTTGACTGAATTTTGAACGAGTCAATCTCGAATAGCTCGGAATCTATATCGTCTCATTTACAGGCTCGTCCCTTCTTAACTTAGCTTTCCTGTTAGGAATATTATGGCAAAATGGATGATTGAAAGTTCAATTAGAATGACAAAACAGTTGAACAGCAAACATGAACCCTAAAAATCAGGTGCATGAAACGGAGCTAAAGATTATCCTTAATCAGATTAACATCCGAATTTACCACAGCAATTACTTTATCTGAATCAACAACCCTTTTAATAATCCTATAACTAAAAAAAGACTCTATAAGGTTAGTCTTGAAAAATAATTCTCTGGAAATAATAGTCTTTTTGAATCAGAATTTGAGCAGCCCTTTGATAATAATATTTACTTGGAAAACTTCACATCTAACGTCAATATCTTTGTGCATCTTCTCAAGTTAGCTTGGCATACCACCACTAATCATCTCCTTGTTTCAAAGAGTTAAAAGCATTTAGAATCACTACAAATGTATTCATAATATCTTATATAATCTAAAATAAAACAAAATATTAGTGAACACCAGACCCTTCAAAAAATGCCGAACACGAGATCAGTAAACAACTTCAATCTGCAAGGAGAAAAATATGGAAAGAGCTACAAGTATGGTCTCTAAGTGCGTAAAAGTAACCAAAGAGTATGTCAAAACAGAAATCAATCATAAAGTAATGTATAAAATGCATGACAGACTAGCAAGCCCTATATATCGTAGAAGTAATCAGAAAACACAATGAGTGGTCTCAGTGGTAAAGAGAATATTGTTTTCCCTAGGTGACTCGGGTTCAAACAACTTTTTTATGTAGCGGTGTAAATGAGTTTATTCATATTTAAAATCGAACTCAAATACTACCTTATAATCATATAAGATTCTTTGAAAAAAAAAATGAAAACACCTCTAGGTAAGAAAGTGGTAATGATATGTGAGACAAGATTTTCTAACCAATGTAATCTCTGCAATGACTGTTGAAAAGTTAATTCAAAAAGGTTATGGAGCATGTCTAACTTACATTCTAGATACCAACAAGTCTGATCATACTTTGAACAATATACGTATAATGAGAGACTTTTATGAGGTCTTTCTTGAAGAGTTACACGGGTTGCCATCCCATCGAGGGGTTGAGGTTGATGTCGAGTTATATCTTGGCACTGCTCTGATTTCTATTGCACCTTCTCGCATGAGACTCAAAGAACTAAGATAATTGAAGATTCAACTATAAGAGTTATTGGAACGAGGTTTTATATATAAAGAGTATATTACCTTAGCTCTGATCTTGATTGCGAAAAAAATGAAAGAATGAGACTGTATTATGCATCCAGTATCTGCAGTTAAACACATTAAGGACAAGTATTCGACCAGTTGTGTAGTGCTTATGACACTTCAAAAAATCAATCTAGAATTTTTTCCGGTGATTAAAAGATTCTTTTCCGATAATTTGAATTTTCGAGATTAAGATCAATTTTATTTTATAATTTGAATTGGGGTATAAATTGCTTTGATAATGGGATAAGGATCAAAATATGATAATGGAAAATACAAAAGCTTCAGTGAAATATAGAAACTTAGGTGCTCGAATGAAAAAAAAGAGTTGATGATTAAAACATACAATGATTAGTTTAAAGAAGGGGAAATATTAAAGATTAGACTTAGATTCTCACCATTTTTAAGTTGATGAATAAGCTCCTATGTGTCAATTTATTTGACCATTTTCTTTATTTCTTTAAATTAGCTAAATTAGAAAACCCTTCTCTTCTCCTCTTCTCTAATAATTGTGGGTTATAATTAACAAAAAGTGTGAGCTCCTTCCATTTTTCTTCTTCTCCGAAACCGGTATTAAAAGAACGTACTTAAAATGAGTGACATGTACAAATAGCACTAAAAAGGGGGGAAATCAAAACAAGGCACCTGGAAGACTGGGTTAAGCCCTAAATGTAGCCATTTTAAGAGCACTGCCTTTGCAAGCAAACCCTCACTTCCCAGAAAAACAAAGAACTGATAATATGCATACAAGCTTGTTTCATTTGAATCCTTCTGATGACCAAAAGACATGCTTGAAAGTCCATCTAAAACGAAAGCATATTGGTTGCTAAGTGAAAGTAAAGACAGTACACATTTTAGGTTTATGAAAACATATGTACTTCCCATCGGATGATATCTTGCAAGGAAAAGCTCAACCTACTGTTGTTTATCTCGTCTTGTCTCTGAACTCTCGCCATTGTCCTTGGGCTTCCCAGGTGAAACCTTGGTGAGAGTTGAACGCTCAGACTGAGAGAAGAGAATCATGATTTGCATGAGAATGGTAACAATGGCTAAGCCAACTGCTGACACTGCAATCCCTTTCCATGAGGATAAAAGTGAAGACCATTGCAGAAACTTGAGAGCTCCATAAGCCAGGAGACACGCCCAAGAAGAAACAACGTGATCCAAAAACAAGAAGATGATTATCATATTTAGTTCCAGAAGCAACTACTACAAACGCTGAAAAAACAAGAGAGATCACAACAGTATTAGAATAAAATCAAAACAAAGATTGGTTAATTTTACATAAAAAATCTCACCAAAAGCGGTTTAATCGGCTGAACAATATCCTGTAACGGTTGGTCACTAAATGTGTCCTCAGCTACATGTTTGTCCAACAGCTTATCCTATATGAGAAATCAAAAGAAAAAACCAATAAGTCTGAAATTAATGCATGAAATACTTCATGCACAAGAAACATTATGCAAAAAAAGGACCAAGATACACAACTTTTTCAAAGTGACATTAATCCTTATTTTCCTTTCAATCATGAGATTATTTCAGAAGAGCAAACAAGACTACCTAGAATAGCACTATGCTACATCACTAGATGAATAGTACTCACTTTCTCCACGAACAGATCTTTACACCATTGTGCAACTGCCTCGTCCGTTTTAGGCAGTTCCTTCATAAGATGCCACTTGACGTGTACATGCACCTGCAAGCAACAATATATTTTCATCAACTGAATGAACCAATATAAAAGTGAGTCATTCAATTATCAACAAGGTATATTTTCATAACCACTTCAGATTAACATGTTTCAACCATATGAAAAGAAAAGGGAAACACAAAAATTTCCCGACTCAGTTGCTTCACATTATATGATAAACCTAGCAACACAATCAAATTAAAGCTGCCACAAAGTATGCACAAGTAGTTAATGATTCTTATTGTGCCAATGACCAATAAACTTTTGGCTTTAACTCCATGAAATTCTAAAGAGTGGAGAAAGGATTAACAAGTTCTGAAGCCTGCTCATTTACTTCATCTTGTCTTTGATTCATTAGAGACATTTGACAGCACGTTATGCATTTAAACTGAAAAAAAAATCACCATCAAGTTGAATTTAGAAGCAAAATCTTCTAAAGGAGATGTGGAGTAAACCCTCCGAGGACATATCAATATGAAACAAAATGAGAGCAGTGTTAACATTCATATCGACACATACATAATTACGCAAAGATGTTAAACTTGCTTTACACAGCTTGAAATTAAAATTACCACTGAAGATTGACCCTTGAAAAGTCTAAGCATTGTAGGTGAGGGTGAGCTTTTAGGAATTGCCACTGTCATATCATAAACAGCTGGAACAAATGAACGCATATGACTTACAGCTGAAACAAAGCCCTGGAGCAACAAAGATAATGTTATCAAGCATACACTTCCATATAGAATTACAATCAGTAAGGCCAGCTAGATAATTGGTCATGAGAAAAATGACAAAATTCAGCTTTACAAATGAGAAAAGTAACACTTAGTCCAACATGATTGACTCTCAATTATAGGATTGGGGTACATATCTGAGGGTGCACATGTGGTTGAGGCTGGCTAAGAATTGAATAAGCGTGCCAAAGTAGCAAGAAACTTGCATTGGCCAGAAAGAAAGTGTCGGCAGGAGGTTGCAAAAAACTCTACCTAGATTAAACAAGAATATGATATGGTAATTTTACAGAAGAAAGTAATCAACTTGAATACCAAAATAAAAATTTGGGCACCTACATATCCATAAAAAATAAAATTAAAAAAGGAACCTAGATAAAAGGTAACAAGGAATTCAGGAAAATAAGAGCGGCAAGAATCTGACCTTTGTACTAGGAATTAAAACATTTCTAGGTACAGGCAATCCTTGTGAGGTTGCATATTCTTGAGCTGCTAGAAGCTTTGCTTGTGTAAAGCGTGTTCCTTCTACAAAAAGTGCCAACCAAAATGGTTGTGGGAAGTCCTTTAAACATTGAAGACCTGCCTGCAAATATAATTTCCACAAGATTTGAATGAGATCAATAAGGGTAGTTTAGAAACAAGCATGAACAAACACACTAATAAATAAAGCAATATTAAAACATGTAATTTTGACACGTGCATCCATATTTGAACTTTTACCTTTAACGTGCTTTTATCCTTAGCCCAGCTTCGATCCAAAAACAGATACTCAGAAAACCACATTGACCAACCTATGACCTGAACATATTAGACATCAAATTATTATCGTTCTTCGTGAGTACACAAAAATATAACCTTGTTTGCTTCTCTAGTAAACAAGTTCAAAAACTTAAAACTACCTGTAACCCCTACCATCAGAAAGATTGACACTTAACTTTCACTACCAAATGCAAAATTAACTGTACCAGCATTTGTTTCATGATGCACTAGTTCAGATAAAAGAAAGACTACTACTTCATCAGGAGATCTGCTTCTGAATCATGCAAACTAACTTCATGAAAAATATTAAGACCATCAATCCTTACTTAGACACACTCACTTCATAGACAATATGCAAGAAAAACTTTGAACTCTGACTAAGAATAGAAGATTTTCAAAAGACCAACCCAACTGCTGTTTGACACTAGAAGCTAATGTGACAAGTTAAAAAAAACCCGAGGAATCTGGATCAGAGTGCCTCACCAGTCATCTTAATTTTCTTTTTTCATATATATTAAAAAATAGCATGTTTAATTACTGCAGATTAGCATAATTACTGACTTAGCTAATCACGTATTAAACATTTACATACGTGAACATGTGCAGTGGAGGTCTGTATACACATGTGTATGGAAAAACATGTACATAGCATGGCCATCAGCAATTACCAATCAAAATTGAGGACAATGTGTAGATATCAGCTGAAAATAAAGAATTGATCATGAAAACAATATCACTGTTCAAAATTTGAAACTTCAAACGTATCATACCAACACATACCGGTAGGAATTTTGATGATTTCTTCATTACGACTAATGAAGTGCCAAGACAACCTGATCGCTGCCAAAAAGCAAATTCAATTGTTTCTTAACCAGACAAGACTTTAAGGGACAAAAAATCATTAAGCTAAAATGCCAAATAGTACATTTCCGAAAAGTGCAACAGAAAAAAAAATTGCACACCTCAACCAAACAGTATGCAAAACAGTTGGAACCGGAATAAATTAGTTACCGACCTGTGCTAAAACCCATCCAACTAGCCAATCGATATCACTTCTGTGATTGCATATGACAAGGGCATGTTCCTTACCTGGAAATTTTTAAAAAATCAGATGATAAGCACACCTTTGAAGAAGAAAAAAAAGTTTAGGACAGAACAATACCAATTATTTATGTAGCTTGAATACTGAGAATAAGTCTCCTATAAAAAAGAGATTGACATTACCCATTGAATTGAAGCTTTCAAGATCTGCAAACACTTTAATCTGCAGAAAAGATGTCTCAAAGGTCAAAAGGTCATTCTTACAAGACTACTTAAGGTGCACAAAAATACCAATATTTTTCAGCATTAATAGAATTTGGCTCACTAACAGTCAATAAATAACACCTCAATAGCTCAATCAATTTCTAGGAACATCTATCAGCCCTTGGAGTAATCAAAACTTCATAACAATAGTTCAAGTCATATGTGCATAATTATTGAGACAAGCTAAAACCTGCTGAATCTTTAAGCCTGTGGAACTAGTTGGACAACAGGCTTTCAACCAACTACATACTACTAGGAAGCGGAATTATCGGTCACAGGAGGCATAAAATTTCAACACTGCACAAAAATTTTATTGTCTAATCCCTTCATCTAAGTAACATTTTATCTCAGGTTGTGATAGCAAATTTTTCGTTCATTTTTATTGAAAAAATATATATATGGCCACATCAGAGTCTCAAAGAAAGCAGTGAAAATCTTGTCATGGGTTCTATATCTTATTGTTTAGAAATAAGATTACTTTTGAGACTAACTGTTTGCAAGTAGGAAAAGGAAGACGAGCATTTTATCAGCATAAACTTACATGACATAAATGGTTTCAGTATCTACAATTATCTCATAAAGGATTTCAGCATTAGGCCATACATTTTCAAAAATGCCCAAAAAAATAATATATTGAGTAATTAAAAAACAAATGATTTTAAACAACGAAATAAAGGAGCTCATTAACACCTTAACTCCTGCCCACCAATCAACAAGCCAAACTAGTTGCAGCCACAACAACTCTGCCAACACCCTATTGATCTTTCTATATGTGTTCTTGAACAGTGGTCAAATGAGAACAAAGCATACTGCCTGGAAAAAAGAAAAAGAACCGCATTGCATAACCAAAAAAATGGTCACCAACAACAACATAAAAAGGAAAAAGAAAAAGAAGAACAACATTTACACATCAACCAACTAATCAAAATTGAACCAACGTTGCCTAACAAAGTAGATTCTGATTTCTACAGGGGAAAAAAAGGCAACAAGATCGTAGATTGACAGCAAGGCCGGAGATGAAGAAAAGAAGGCCCAATGGGAAGATAACAGCTGCCGCTGCAATCGTCATGGACACCACAAGCACCGGAGCGCCCGAGATTCTCAAAAAAGGGAGGTTTTGCAGTGAGATTGTAGATTATAATTTATAAGAAAGAGAAGATTGTGTTAAATCTTTCCCCATTTTATATTTGTGAGAATTGATTCCACGAATACTTGCTTACAAATAGTAAATCAAAAAAATGGATTAATTAATAACGTTGTGGAGTGCTTAAAGAGATGAATATAGGAAACGACGTACTGAAAATATAAAATAGGGTAACTACACATTTAGTATTCCAATTATTATTTTTGTTTTATTTTGATCATCAATTACTTTTTAAATAAAATCATAATTAACATTTAGTTTTGGTTTTATTGTGGTCACCAACTGTTAAAAAATTTAATGATGATACTTACATATAAATATTATTTCATCTATAAAAAAAATTAAAAATGTCAAGTCAATAATTTTATTAATTTTTTAAAATAGACAACTAAAATGAAACTAAAATATAATGTTAAAAATATTTTGTTAAAAATAATTAAATAACTAAAATAAAACAAAAATGATAGTTGAGATATTAAATGTATAATTAATCCTATAAAAGTATAATGAAGAAAGATTCATACACACATACATACATGTTTTGAAATCAAATTTTTGTCTGTTATTTTTTATATTAATTTCTAGAAGGTGTATGTATTTTTCAAATAATTGTACGTTTATTACCATGATCACAATTGTTAGAGTTATCTTTATTCTTTTTATTATAAGATATCACATTCACTTTGAAGAATGGATGAAGTCGGTAAAATTAGATTTATGATAAACAAAATAACTCATTTCAATTTGAAAAAATTTGAGTCAAATTGATTTGACTCGTTATTTTATAAACTCAAGTTGATTCTAAAAAAAATCAAATTCAAGTCGAGTTATAAAATAGAACTCGAATAATTCAAATGATTTAAACATTTTAATAATTAGTGAACTGATTTTCGAGTTTAAGTTAGATCTCTCAACTTTGTATGCTATATGAATATCATATATGAAAACAATATGAAGATATATATATATATATATATTATATTTAATTATAGAAAATCATTTAAGTTAGAGTTAAATAGTATCATAATATTGTAAATATTTATAATTAAACTTAAATAAAAATTTGAACAATTAAATTCGACTCGATTCAAATTTTATATATTTCATTTTACTAAGAATATTTAAATAAAATTTAAATTATAAAATAATATGTATCAGCTAAAATAATTTAAAATATTTTAATTGGACCCAATCGAATACACCCCAAACATTAAACGAGTGACCATATATGTTCCTTTTGGTGATATAAAGACATTACCCTCTTCTAACAAGCTAAAAACAAAATAACTCCTTCCGACGCCAAACCCTCTTTATTTTCTTTCTCTTTTTCACAATGAACTGCTCATCTCTCGTACACGACCCCAGCCCAGTCGCCACCTGCAGATGGGGCTATCGGAGCCGCAATCTCCACTTCCAACACCATCACCCCAACTTCGTTGTCTGCTCCTTGAAGCCTGCCGCCTCCTCTTCTTTGAGCGTGTCTGAGTCAGCCGCTCCCAAGTCCGTGAGTCGAATCGGGTCGCTGAGTCAGGTATCCGGCGTGTTGGGTTCTCAGTGGGGTGATGAAGGCAAAGGCAAGCTTGTCGATATCTTGGCTGAGCACTTTGACATTGTTGCACGCTGCCAGGTACTACTCCTATACCTGTTTTTTTTCTTACGTGTTTTATCTTTGTTCTTGCATAGTTTTCAAAAGGTAATTTCTTATTGATACTATAAAACAATCAGTTTTAGAGATATTGATGATTTCTCACTCACAGAAAGGTTATATCAGAATTGATGTGCAAATTAAGTCATTTTGTTAGTTTTTAACCAATAATTTATTATTTTGCTTTGCTACATTTTAGAAAAAGAATGATAGAAAGGAAATTGAAAGATAAAGGATGTGGAACAGAGCCATTGTTTAACATATTTTAGTTGGATTTAGAAAATACCAAATTTTATGTATTTTTTTAGGGAAAAAAGGTAACTCCTCAGTGTTATTGTATGAGATTTGATAGTTAGAGAACAGCTTCAGAAATGAAGTTAAAAGTCATTCTTTACTGCTCACACGGTAATGATAAGATAAGTTTAATTAGGCAGCCCGAATTTGTTGTTTCTTATTCTTAGTATTGAACTTTTCTATGATTTCAGGGTGGAGCTAATGCTGGACATACAATCTACAATTCGGAGGGAAAGAAGTTTGCCCTTCACCTTGTTCCTTCTGGCATCCTTAACGAGGAGACTCTGTGTGTGATTGGAAATGGAGTAGTGGTACATTTGCCAGGTCTATTTAAAGAAATCGATGGGTTGGAAGCTAATGGGGTTAACTGCAAAGGAAGGATCTTGGTATCTGATCGTGCTCATCTGCTATTTGATTTTCATCAAGTAGTTGATGGGCTAAGGGAAGCTGAGCTTAACAAGTCATTTATTGGCACAACTAGAAGAGGGATTGGACCTTGTTACTCTAGCAAGATGAACAGGAATGGAATTAGAGTAAGTGACTTGAGGCACATGGATACTTTCCCCCAGAAGCTTCATAATTTATTATCTGATGCGAATTCAAGGTTCCCAGATTTTAACTATACCCCAGAAATGCTTAGGGAAGAGGTTGAAAATTACAAGAGATATGCTGAGAGGTTGGAGCCTTTCATTGCTGATACTGTGCATGTGATGAATGAATCAATTGCAGAAAACAAGAAGATATTGGTGGAAGGTGGCCAGGCTACCATGCTCGACATTGATTTTGGTACTTATCCCTTCGTAACGTCCTCAAGCCCATCAGCTGGTGGAATCTGCACTGGGCTTGGTATTGGTCCTAGAGTTGTGGGTGATCTAATTGGAGTTGTAAGTGAATATTCTTTATTATTTGTCTTGGTGTTTTTATTTTTGGTCATAGAATTGATTTGTCGTGTGGTTGTGGTACAAAGTACAGGCGGACAAAACCAAATGGTTCAAAAAAAGTTTTTGTTTTAATGTTCAAAATGGGTTTTAACTTCAACCACTTTCCTATATTAAATACTATGTGCAGGTGAAAGCATATACCACAAGAGTTGGTTCTGGTCCTTTCCCAACCGAAATCCTGGGTCAAGGCGGTGATATACTCAGGTTTGCCGGGCAGGAATTTGGCACCACAACTGGCCGCCCTCGTCGGTGTGGTTGGCTTGATATAGTTGCTCTTAAGTTCTGTTGTCAGATTAATGGCTTTTCTTCCCTAAATCTCACCAAATTGGATGTTTTGTCCGAGCTTCCTGAAATCGAATTGGGTGTTGGTTATAAACAAGTTGATGGTACACCAGTGCATTCATTCCCAGCTGATCTTCAGCTTCTTGAGCAGTTGAAGGTTGGTAAACTTTTAACTAACAGTCATTAGATATTTTACTTTCATATATACATTTCTTTTCACTTTTACAAAAATGCTTATCGGAACTGGGGTGGCCTGATGGTCGAACGAGTTTTCCTGGGACTTAACTCTGGTTGGTTCTATCATTAAACTTTTCAAGCAAGTGAACTACTGTTACCTATGTTAATCTGCTAAATTTTAAAGATCTCGTGACCCTGTCAGACTGTCATCTCAGATGTGTTTGATATATATGGTTTAAAATGATGTTCAACCAACTCTAACTATTTGTTTTGCCATTTCAACCCTTAAAGAATGCATTTTTTTTTTGGGGGGGAGATCCGATACTGAAATTTTGAATTAGAAAACGTAACAATCAAAGAAGAATCGCATGATATGCCACTCGAGCTGCAAAGAAAACATGTGTTGATTGCTTTTTCTTCTTTGAGCTTTCCATTAATGCAGGCAATTTTGATTGCATGTGAAAGAGGTTGCACTATCAAATATCAATGAATATGATAATATGTTGCACGATGCTCAGAATGCCTAATAGCGAGCGTTTGATGCATTAGCAATTACTAGTATGTGCTCAAGCTTGCTACTGTTGTATCAGTTATGGAAGCACTGGGTAATTCATTTCCTTTCTCTGTGTTTAGGTTGAATACGAAGTTTTGCCTGGATGGCAGTCTGATATTTCTTCTATCAGAAACTATTCGGATCTTCCAAAAGCTGCACGACAATATGTTGAGAGGATAGAGGAACTTGTTGGTGTGCCTATCCATTACATCGGCATCGGACCTGGTCGTGATGCTCTCATATACAAATAATTGACCATTTTTCGTACTCGTGCTATTGCTAGTTGATTTTATATTTCCTGCACGCAGGCAGAACAATACTCGTAGTGCTGGAAAGAATTTTAAATGGTGGGGCAACTTTTGGGACGAAAAACTAGGTGAATACATAAATGTGTTGTAACATAACACATATTCGACATATGCAGGATACTTTGGAATGGGTGATTTCGATCTCTGTAAGAAATGAATGTCCAATCTGCTTGATATCATGTATTTGAGCATCATATGTTGTGTTTGAAATATCATTTGCATGCAGTGACAAGCGGAGAATCCAAGTTAATAAGAGCAATCTTGTAGCACTTAAGCAGCTTCATGGTAAGGCCGAGGCATTGGCTAGTTGGCTTTTCCCTTTTTTCTTAATACATGAGAATATGTACATTTGCACAAGTGCTTTCTTCTCTTTGCAGTTTATCCCTTACAAGATGCAGCACAAGACTATATTAGTTAGTTCTACTCAAACTCGAATTTAAATAGAGTGCTGAATACAAATTGACACTTGATTTGTGTCAACTGAACATGTTCAATAAATGTGGAATGTCAAATGTTATATATATTTAAATGTATAAAAATTAAGGTGCTTAAAAGTTGGTTAAATTAATATCATATATTAATATTAGGTTATTTTTTATGTAAATAGGAGTCGCTAGGGTTGCACATAATTCGGATTTCAATCCGATCCGGATCGGTTTTTATCCGATCCGGTTTTTTCCCATAGAAAAAAAACCGGTTTATAAAATAACCGGTTCGGTTTCTAACCGGTTTGGAGGGCCGGATATCCTAACCGGTGTAACCGGTTTCGGTTTTAAAAAAACCGGTTTTTTTTAAAAAACCGGTTATAAAAAAACCGATTTTAATATTCCAGATTGCTCATAGGGAACCGATTCCCCCCCAAGGGGTACCGATTCCTCACTGAATGGTTTGGCTCCGAGATTTCCAGAATGCTCGGAGGGAACCGATTCCCCCATAGGGGTACCGATTCCCCCCTATTCAACGGTCGAAATATTTGAATTTTACACTTAGGGAACCGATTCCCTATGAGAGGGTACCGATTCCCCCACGCTCTAAGCATTTTTATTAAATGTTTTCACACTTAAACGGCTATATTATCTTCATTAATTATCACTAACGTTCAGAAGTGATTCAAGGTGTATTTAAGCAAGCTTAGAAGTCATTGATCAAAGACAAGAAACATCAAGCAACTAGAATCAAGAGAGAATCAAAGAGAAAGCATCAAACCTCAAGTTCGATAAATTCAAATACTTAATTGAAATACTTAATTAACTCAACATAATTGAAATACTTAAATACTTCCAAGTTTGATAAATTCAAATACTTAAAAACTTCCAAGTTCGATAAATTCAAATACTTAAAAACTTCAAGTTCGATAATTGAAACAAAGTTTACGATAATTGAAATAAAGTTATAAAATAAACTACATTGCCATCTCTTCTTCATCATCTTCGCCTTCTTCGTTTGGAGGGGATATTCCAAGTTCGACTTCTTCAATGTGTAAGTTTGCTTCCAAATCGGCATCAATTGCATCTTCTAGGGTGGTGATATGTTGCTTACGAGCCGCTCCATCCAAATAATCCTTTAAACAAATGCATACTTCCACCGACTCGGGACTTAGTCTTGATCTCCGTTGTGATATAATCCTGCCACTAACAGAAAAAGCGGATTCCGAAGCTACCGTAGAAGCTTGGACGGTTAGTAAATCACGGGCCATGGCGGCTATAATCGGAAATTGTGCTTCCTTTTCTTTCCACCAAGCCAAAATATCCAAACTTTCAAACTCTTCAAATGTCATTTTTGATAGAAAATCGCATGACATGTAATTTCCCAACTCGCTACTTGGGGTGGTAGTACGTGATCGTTTGGATTGGGAATTTACAAGAGTGTTAAAAAGATTCAAATTTATGTTACTTGGACGTCTACTAGATGATTCCGCATTCATTCTCATTTGATCGTGTATTACACTACTTGATTCGTATTTAGTTAAATAAATTGCAAACATGTCTCGAAAACATTTGTTAAAATAATTTATTTGGTTTTGGACAAAGTTGGGTTCATCATCGGTTAGATTAAAAGCAAACGCAATTTGTTCAATTAGTGTTTCAACCCCACCAACATTTAACGTTGGGTTTAAAGCGGCGGCACAAGTAAAAATGGGGGAATCTCCTTAAAATATTTTAAAAGTTTTTCCTTCATTGCAAAGCCAATTTCTTGAAAAACTTCGATTTCAAATTCAAAGTCATTTAGTCGGGTAGCCAACAAAAATATTTGATTAAGAACCAACGGGCTAGTAGGGTAATAAACACCGGATAAAAAAGTTGTTGCATTTTTAAAAACCTCAAGCAAATCGGTTATTTTGGCTATAGTTTCCCAACTCGAATCCGGATAAATGTCTGGGACATGACCCCTCTCGAAAAGCCGATCGTGAAATGTTTGCAATGTTTCCCTTTGCCTTAAGGCAGTATGCATCATCATCCAAGTTGAGTTCCAACGAGTTGGACAATCCAAATTAGGACCCAAAGCTTTTTATTAACAGACTTACAAAATCGTTTATAATCATTTAGTCTTTTGTTGTTGTTACAAAGAATCGATTTTATCATTGTTTTAAATTCTAATCTAATTGGCTCAATAACCTCCAAACCGGCTTGCACGGATAAATTAATTATGTGTGCAACGCAACGGGTATGAAAAAACGCACCGTCTAAAATCGGTGAAAGTAATATTTTCAATCTTGGAACCGCGTTTGTATTATTCGATGCATTATCAAAGGATATAGAAAAAACTTTATTTTCTAATTTATAAAGACAAATTACCCGTTTTAAAAGTGTAAATAAATTAGCACCGGTATGCGGCTCACCGAATAATTCAAACGCGATTGTTCTTTTCATCATTTGCCAATTATCTTGATCTAACCAATGTGACGTAACGGCTAAAAAAGAATTTCCGGTATTATGAGGGGAACTCCAAACGTCACATGTAAGCGACACACCATAACGGTGTTCTTGGAATCCTAAAATCATTTTTTCCCTCGCCGTACGCCACATTTTTATAGCATCTCTTCTAAGGGTAGTACGACTTACTTGAGTATAACGTGGTTGCATTAGTTGTTGAATTGTTGTCGTGAAATCTTCATCATCAAAGTGGTCGAACGGCAATGCTTTTGTAATCACGAACTTTGTAAACGCTTCTCGTAATTTTTCGTTGTCGTAAACAAAAACACCACCTTGCGGTGTAAGATTCGATTGACTAGGATCCGATCTTGAGCGAAGTGCCTTGCATGATTTTGTCAAATGGTTCTTCAACGTTGTGTTTCCTTCCGATGCAAGAAACTTTAGACAAAGTTTACAACGCGCCCTCCTCGAGCCATTTGACATCTCACATAAATCGTAGTGATCCCAAATATCTTTGTTTTGAGTGTGTTCGATCACTCTCACGACTTCAAGGTTTCCCCCGACGGAAGATTCAGCAGTGTTACTCATGATGAATAAAAAATTACAAAACTAAGATTTGAGAGATGTTTAAGTGTTGTGTAATAAGATTTGAGAAAGTTGTAATCAACCAAATACATCCCCAACCTATTTATACATGTTTAGGATGGTAAAATAGTAATTTTTTAAAGAAAAAAACGGTCAAAAACGGTCACAAACGGCTATATTAACGGCTAGTTTTTTAAACCCAGACCGGTTTTTTTTCGGATAAAAACTGGTTTTTTAACCGGTTTTTTATCCGGTTAAAAAACCGGTTTAAAAAAATCCGATCCGGTTTAAAAAAAACCGGTTTTTCCCAAAACCGGTTTCGGATATTTTTTTCGAATATTCGGATATTCGGATTTTTTGTGCACCCCTAGCGACTCCTAGTGTTATTAAAAAAAAGAGATTAATATTCAACATTACAATGAACATATAATTAGGACATTATCTCTATAACCATTGACACAAAAATTAGCTATCATATGAGGATCACAAAGACAAAGTTAAAAGCCCATATAAAAAATTCGAACGAAATATAAATACAAGTATATTTGATTGCATCGATAAATAAATTATAATACGGGGATCAAACTATTGAAAAATCATTGGCAATTGCAAATAAGAGTCGATCGTTGTGAGAAAACTATCTTCGAATACAAATTGCGTATCTAAATTTAATCATAGGGTCAAAAGCATAGAAGATGAATATGATAACTAATAAACACAATTTTGATCAGTCGAAGATTTGTCAAATCCAATCTTAAGAAAATTAAACGGAAAAAGGTCAAACGATCGAAAATGTACCAAAAAAACATAAGATAATGTGTCATAAAGACATACGAAAACGTGCGATAAAAGCAAAATTATTGGAAATTAAAAAATAAAACAAAGAAAAAACAAGATTCGATATAAAAAATTAAAGAAAAAAATATGAAATACATGTGATTGATAATCATCATCAAGATTAATTACACCGCCTGTCAAATAAAGAAGAAAAGAAAAGAACCAAGAAACGATAGATTAGAGAGAACTTTTTTAAGGTTTTTACAATAAGTCGCATTACATCTTTCTTATTTTAAAAAATATCCATTTTTACCCGCTTATAATGGACGTGTCATTAATCTTAATCTAGTTGTTATCAATGGTAATAGACACTAAAGTTGTTTTTACTTTTTTTCTCTCTAGATAATTATTATTTTTCATTTTCGAGGTACAAGTACAAATATAATTATGAATAACATGTAATTGCATTTGAATATATTCATAAAAAATTAGATAAAAATTTACATATGATCCATAAAGTAGAAGGCAAGGGGGAAAAAAGGACACCATGTCTTTTGGTTTTGTAAAAATGAACATGCTTAAAACTGTATATTAGAAACAGCTAGGGTTTCTTATTGTTTATCCATAATTTGGTTTTGTAGATATACATGGGCTTATAGGGTAAACCTCTGCTAGAGTTCCAATCGACAAAATGAGATGTTCTTCCTCCTCACAAGGTCATGATTATTATTATTTTATTATTAATCTTGAATGACTATGTGGAAATATCTGCTCGAAAGATTTTAAATCATTTGACAATAAATCCTCAAACAATCATGCAAATTTCGTGCTCAAATCCAAAATTTCTAAGAATAAAAATATCTCTTAACCACTAAGTTCAACATTCTTGAAGTGGTAGAGCTGGAAAATTTTGGGAATTTTCAGTGCTTTATTTGTTTTCCCATGAACTATAGAATACATGTTACATTGTAGTGAAGAAAGCATTTGCACTTAATTACACTTTTGCTTTTAGTGAATATTATTTTTTAGTATTTATTGTTAATTGCAACAACTGAAGTTTGTGTACTTACCGGTTGAAGGTGGTTTAGACTTTATTAGAGAGAGCATTGGCATTGGGTTATTTCTGTATGGTTTTTAGGAATTCTTTAGAGAAAGAAAAATATTTTTTGGAATTGGATCACCATATCCACTCTCGTTTACATAGTTATTCTGAGGGCATGGTTCTTCAAGATTTATGAAAGTAAAACCTGCCTTCTTCCAGGTTTCAGTGTGTTATTTAATATATCTAAATGACATTTGGTATTTTACTTACAAGATTCAACGGCTGACCATCATCAATCTATAGCATGTAAAACAATTTACTATCCGACCTAAGATGCAATAACTGGGTTAGATGTCTATTCTTGGAATTTTGATTACCAGCACATGAAATGCATTTCCCTCCTTTCGTTTGTATTGTTATTTCCAAATCCCATTCTAATACACACACACACACACACACAATAGCAAGAATTAAACCATAAAAGGTAAAGTAAATTACTGTTTAAGAGATACCCCAGATGTATATACAAAATATCATTCCAAAATACTGGCTTCCAATGCCATCAAAGCCAAACAAAACATTTCATTTCACGGACACAAAAACAGGAGGGGGTCATCAAACCTGCCACTCCCAACTTCCTAATTACCCTTAATACAGTTTTCTGATAACAACTGAGGTACCTAATTCCCTTGACTAAACTGATAATTCAAAATGACATCATCTTGCATGCAAAATCACTGGGCTGTGACATCATACCTTTAGTTGCAGTTTCGGAAAACCCTTGCGCATGCATCTCCACTTGTTCTTCAGGTCTTGTGCAGTTTTATCCTTGGGAAACACTTTGGAACCAAACTCCAAAATTCTCTTCCATGGAATTGTTCCATCATCATTTGCAAACTCCTCTACTCCCTTCTGCAAGTATAAAATAGTCAATTTAAATCTTACAATAAGTCATGAGTCATGTATTATATGCAACATGCTTGGTCAATTAACATTTCAGGATCAGGGTTTCAAATCGCGGTCATTTTCGGTCATTTCGGATTTACAGCGATTGCAGCCATAGCAGGCGCTATTGCGAGTGTGGCGGGTATATCGGAAGGCAGCGCTACCGCGAAATCGCGGTAACGGACCGCGATTTGAAACCCTGCTCCTGATAGCAGAATTTCTCAACACCAGTAGGCAAGGTTGTGGACTTTTTAAAACTATCAACTCTTTATGCCTGCTATAAGTAATCTACGACAGGAAGTAATTACCCTGAGCATCCCTTCTTCAACATTTGTCCGTGGAACTATCTTTCTTGTCAATTGTCGAGTTGGAGGGAACGAGCTACAAATAAGAATCTTGTTAAGATTTAATTCTCAATAAAATCAAGGCTAACTCATTTCCTTTCTCACATGATATAATAAAACCAACGACAAAAGCATGTTAAAATTTAAAAACGGTGTACAGGAAACAAGAATATCAATCTACGCAAAGAAAACTTACAACTTTGTCTGAGGTTCTCTAGTGTAACTAGATATTATAAACTTGTCATCTGCACCGATAGATGACCCCTCTCCATCACTATTGACATGTTCCTGACATGCGTGTGTTGTCTGAGGCTTTACAGATTCCTTTAAAATGTCATCTCTTTCAACTTCTACCTGATTTACAGGGTCAGTTTCAGTGTTTTCAGTGGTTGGATGATCATCACAAGATTTAAGCTTGGACTGCTGTTGGTGTTCGTGCTCTCTCCCTAGATGTTTACTCTCCCGAATTACGACAAGGTTTTCATTGCCATTTATCGTCAAATGCCTCGGAAACCTCCTCCGTTCCTGAGCAAGTTTTCCCATAAGCCCAATAAATGCAACTAGTTTCTTCCTTGCTAAGAGGGTTTTGTCCTTAGCTTCTAGGTACTTTGAGATGGAAACAGAATATGCACAAAATGGGCAAAGAAAGTTGCATTTATCATCAAATCTTGCAGCACTATTCAAGCAACTCTCATGAACCACAAGTGGACAACCACTAGCACTGCACGCCAACACCTGACCATTTTGGTTACACTTGACACAAGACTTCTGTTCTTTCCAGCCAGCTTTTTGCACCGGATCTTGACTTGGTATGTGATGTGAACTCAAGAAAAGGTTCTTCTTCAAGACATTATTAAAGATCTCATCTTCAAATCCAAATATTTCTTCGGGACAAGGATGAACCATGTCAGCTTTTTCCACATTATGATCAATATTACGTTGCAATCTATCAGCACTAGGTCCCTTTTGAACTATCTCAACTTGATCAATATCCACACCCGCATCACCACTAGGACCCTTTTGCAGTGCACCATTTTTCAAAAAGATTGGTTTCATCAGTCACAGCATTTTGGCAAGTTATATCTTCATGCTTGTGCTCAACCATCACATCAACATCATCATTTTGAACATTTTCCATCTGATTGTCCAGCAACTCTACTAGTCCAACAGCATCAATTCGCCCATGGGTCCTTGAGGCAACACGTAAATCTTTATCACCCTCCCCTCTCTGAGAATCCTTCCCCAAGTTATTACCTTCTATTTCAGTAACTTTCATAATCCTACGAGATTCTTCTTCCAATTGTTCAGAATCACCATGCAAGTGAATTGGAAGCTCTTCAACAGACTGAATATTACAAGAGGGAGTAGCATTCTGCTTGGACTTTTTAGCATTCAATTGAAGATAATTATGCAGACTACCATGGTTAACACCGACTACTCCCACTGAATTTCCAGCAACCAAGTCATCTCTACACCTCTAAGAGGGTAATAAATCTTTTCCAAGCAACAATTGATTATCAGCTTCATGAATTTGAGGAATCAAGTTACCCTCTTGGTTACCCTTTTTATCATCATTGTCATCAGACCATGATGGAGGGACATTTTCATCACCATGAGAAACAGGATCGTCCTCACAAATAAAATCTTTTTACTGTTCCAAAAAAGGGTCAATAAGAAACAACAAGAAAAAGAACGTGGTTGCAAAAAAAGCAAAAGGAGTGAAGCTTTATGCCCATTATCACATCTTTGCAGCAGGAGAAAAATCCAATTTTACCTTTTCTAATGAACATTCAGGTAGGGTGGCTCTTTTATGCTTAATAAAGGAGTGGCCAACCCATCTCAAAACCTCGGGTGCAGCTTTTTTTAGATTTTGAAACGGAACCTGATAAAGAAATATAATTGACAATGCAAACACTTTAGCTAGCAAGTTTTTTTCTATGGAAACAACATAAACTTATAGAGCAATGCCGAAGCTAGAATGTATGTTTATATTTTACCTCCTCCAATATTTGGTTGAGAACAACATCACAGCTCAGCGAAGGAGGAAAAGCAGCTCTTAAAACAGGAGGATCGACACTCCAAGACTGTTTCAGGACCAAATAACTCCTCCAAACATTTTAAAACAACCCTCTCGTTTGTATTTTCGTCAAAATCCTCTGGTGCTACTGGAGATGTTTCAAACAGACCTGAGAGAACAGAGAAAAGTTATAACACCCAAAATAATAATAATAGCAAACACCAAGTGATAAGTATTTGTCCATACTGGTTATAATGGAAGTATCTATCTCGGGGAAGCTTGATAAATACTCAATGATCCACTTCCATAGAAGTGGAGAACCGGAAGAATAACGGTGAGACATAGGACCTAGTGGGTCCATCAGAATGCTCTAGTTAAAGAGTAATCGCTTGATCTACACATTATGCACACATTAAGTTTGAAGCCTTTCAAGAATTAAAAATCTACATATGACAAACAATAAAATAAAATAAAAATAAAGATAACATCATTCAAGCGCAACAAAAATCACTGTTTTAAACTACATTCGGCTAATCTTGCAATCTCATGAGCAGAAGCGAGCAATGAAACACAAATTTAGCAAGAAACGGAACATAAACTTAGCAACCAACGAAACATATCTAAAACTAATTAAAGGGGGGAAATTTTCTCGGGTATGTATACTACTTGGATAGATTTCAAGAAAGATCCTTCAATAACCTAGTGCTGGAGGAATAGTTTTTCTCCGTGAATTAATGAGCTAAAAAGACTGAAATATCAAAGATAAAATAACTTCAGTAATCGAAAATATTTTATAATATACGATTTTAACTAATTTTTTTTGGATTTGCAAAAATAACCAACAAATTCGCAATTCGAACTCCAATTTCGCAACACAGTTTTCAAATTCGCAACGCTAATTTCCTAGATTCGCAACTCAGTTTTGAAATTCGCAACTCGAATTTCTTTTCCGCAACGCAATTTTCCAAATTCGCGACGCTAATTCTAAATTCACAATTTGCGACGCTAATTCCGAATTCCCGACGCTAATTTCGAATTCCTAATTCACGACGCGAATTCTTAATTCGCAACACGAATCCTGCTACGTACAGAGATTTCAGAAGTTATCCAAAAACGATAAAGCAAAACATAATAAAATAAAAATCATCAAAATTAATTCTCTTAATATTTTTAAATTTAAAATAATAAAATTATATTTTAACACTCTTTACTTACTGTTGGGTTAAAGAGGAAAACCATATAAAATTAGTGTCGTGAATTGTGAATTCGAAATTAGCGTCGCGAATTGTGAATTCGAAATTCGCGTCGCGAATTCAGAAAATTGCGTTGCGGAAAAGAAATTCGAGTTGCGAATTTCAAAACTGAGTTGCGAATCTGGAAAATTGGTGTTGCGAATTTGAAAACTGTGTTGCGAAATTGGAGTTCGCGTTGTGAATTTTTTGGTTATTTTCGCAAATCTAAAAAAATTAGTTAAAATCGTATATTATAAGGCATTTTCGGTCACTGAAATTATTTTCTCAGTATCAAAGTATATATATATATAAACCTAGTCGCTAAGAAACATTAAAAGAAAAGAAAAACAGTGGGAAACCCTAAAAATAGAGCATTCAAGAACTAGATGAAAACTTAAATAAAAATAAGTATATTAACTGAAAAGACAAAAAAAAAATCAAAAGCCAAACCCACAATTTTATTTATTCTTAAAAACCCTAGTCCCTTGAACTAAGAAAGTTAAAACCTAAAAAGAAAAACCCCCCCGGAAAGTAGAGCATCCAAAAAAAAAATTGCTTGATTTAAAATCGACAAAAATAGGGGAATACGAACAAAAACAGAGTAACAGAGTTAAGAAAAACTAGCCATTTCTTTATTCTTTACCTATATTGACAAATAAAAAGAACGAACGAATCAAGAGGTCATATCGGATATGCGTTGATAAAAATCAGGTTTCTGATGAATACAAATCTAAGATCCTTTAAGAAACGCTTGAGATTCTTTTAAGCAAAAGAAATGTATTCCTCTTTGTGAAACGGAAGGGGAACAATCATTTATACAGTGGTAACTTTTGTGTGTGTGGGTAATTCCAAATCAATAAGGTGTCAACCTTATTATCTCAACTATCATTTTTTTCTTCTAAAATCATACTAATAATTAATTTTAGTTTTATTTTAATCATCCGTTATTAAAAATTTAACGATGATAGCGATATATCACCATAAGATAATATCATGTCATTATTGAACTTTTTTTTAAAAAAATGATACGTCAGTAATTCTATTAATTTTTTAATGGTATCTAATCAAAATGAAACTAAAAATTAATGTTAGGTATGATTTTGAGTAGTTAAATGACCAAAACAGAACAAAAATAATAGTTGAGGTACTAAACGTATAATTTATCATTTTTTATTTATAACTGATATATTTTAATATAGGCATAATGACAAAAAACACTTCTAATGTTTGATAAAATGATCATTTGGCCTTTATTCTTTTTCTTTTGTAATATTTCATTTTGAGGTAAAAAAATCTCTTTATAAATAAAAATCGCTCATCAAATGATAGTTAATGTATATTATTGATTAAATATATCAATATAAATAAAGATGTTAACGTGACATGTTCATATTAACTAAAATGGTATTGTGATAAGTTGCCACATCAACAAGAATTAAAAATAATAATAATATTATTGAAAAAATTGCTTATATTGGGAATCAAACCTACCTTTACCCCCAAACCAAGACAGCTTCCTTATTATGTTTTGGGAAATATCCTATATATATACATCTAAAATCACTATAACAAGTCCAAGTTACGTTACTTGATGAGGAAAACAGTCAAAATTCGATGGAAGAGAGGGTTCCAGGGAGATTTTACAGAGGCTACCGAGTCTGGGAAGATGGATATCGATGGAAGATAACGCTTGGTATGGTCTTCTTGATGGGAACATCCATTACAGAGAACGCTACGTGTACTGTCATCGATGCTTGGGGTCGCCGGCGTAATCTACGAGCTCCATGCACACCTCCTGAACTGGGATTTCGAGTCTACCCAAATTGAGTACTTTGCATGAGGAAAGAGCCGATGCGGCACCATCTGTTAGGCACAAACATATTAAATCATTCTTCATGAAAACTATTAGCATAAATTTTGAGAGACATGCGTAAGCATCAAAGCAAACAAAGCTAGGAAGGAAGAAAATGTCATTAACCAACATATTACATGATCATAATTTCTATAAGACCATCTACAAACTTTGACGTCAAAATCAACTTTGAAGCACTAACTTAATGGATAGATCAGATCTAAAGTTGCCTACAAATGATAAAACATGAGCAATGCAAATACAAGAAAAGACACTGTTGAAGAATATGAAGAAGAGTTTAAACAAGTCGAGAAATGTTGCAGAAAAAATGATAGCAAACAGTAGCAACAAGATAGACGATGTTCAGAAATCAAATGATATATAAGGTATGGTGGCCGAATAATTTCTATTAAATTACCCATCACTGACAGATGGCCTCTCCTGCGAAAGTGCGACAACCGTGGCCGGCGCTAACGGAAGAGGAAGAGCCATGGAAGGAGGCCCGAGGATACCCGACGATGGCTTTGGTGATATCTTAGGCGACGGTGAAACCTAGCTGATTGGGGAAGATAAAAGGAGGGCTAAAATGCAGTAATACCAATTGGAAATAATGATGATAACATGTTCTTGTTTCATACTTGAGAACTGTTTGTGAGAGATTAACACCCAAATTATATCAAATGCGATCTTTACCTGTTGAAAGTAGTATGAAGCAATTAAGGTATCTCAAGGTTACGTCATCAGCCTTCAACAGTTTCTTTGTAATATACTAAATGGTGAAAAATGAATGCTTTAACCCCTTTTCCTTCACCACGTGCGGTCACTTTTTAGCTTTCCTTATACCATTCATCACCAAAAAGAATACAAATATTATATACCAAAACCTGTTTTTGTTATTCCCTATCTCAGGGTTCAGTGAAAGTGGCTTTCAGTTTTGCCGAGACACAAGCTGGCATTTGCCCAATCCATGCTCCCAACACTGCATGATCCATACGAGTGTTCATGTTCGAACCTACACTAGTAGAAGCATTAGGTATAATTTCGAATGAGGCACACCCTTTTTCTCTTTCATCCACTGCCCATGATAAATCAGGGTCATCTCCATTGCCAAGCTCGAATGGAGATGACCTGTGCAGCTTGCTTGACCTATCTGCATTCACTGCCCAGTCCGGTTTCCCATCGGAGGATCCCCACCAAGAATTTACTGGGGAACCGACAATGGCAGTAGAGCCAGAGCCAAGCTCCCTCGAGCTTAGGCTACGGAATTGTTTCTTCTTCTCGCATTGAACTAATATTGAAACCGGGGAGCTCATTGGTGACATAGGTTCTACATTTTGTGGAGACATCCTGCCAGATAGAGAAGCCTGCAACAGAGGATTTTCATTACTTTTAGGTGCAAAATTCATATTAATAGGTGATAGCATGCTTTGCTGCTGCTGAAATTTATTTAGAACAGCAGATTTAGGGGTTGTAGAGAAAACAGCTGCAGCCAATGCTTGATCAGAGTACGAAAGAGATGAGAATTTATTTTACAGAAAATGTTATCCTTAATTTTTTGTGATTGGTTGCTGTAAAATAGATCGGTTAATGTAATTTATTTTTATTGTCAATATAATTATCTTTGGATTTTCTGTAAAGTATTTTAGGTTTTGATTTTTTTTTGTAAAACACTTTTATTTTCACTTCAATTTAAACAATTTAACTTACTTTGGTATAAATAGATATTTTTATTAAACATTCTGACATTAAGATCTCTCCCTCAAATGACAACAACGATAATTAGAGTTAAGTGTTTCAACGAGTCGACTTAAAATTTTTTAAGTTATTCGAGTTGAATATTTTTATTTTATAACTTGAAGTTGACTTGAAATTTTTTCGAGTTAAATAGTTGAACTTTTGATTTTCTGTTTAAATTTAATTGTAAATATTTATAATATTATGATATTATTTTATTTCAATTTAAATGATTTTTTATAACCATATATAATACATATATATATTTCTTCATATTTTTTCATATGTAATATACATATATCATAGAGAGTCGAACGACTTGACTTAAACTTGAAAATCAATCCGCTAGTTACTAAAAAAATTTCAAGTTACCATTCGAGTTATTTGAGTTGTATTTTACAATTCGTTTGAACTTGAAATTTTTTCGAGTCAAATTTATGAAATTACAACTCAAAATCAATTCGAGTCGAATCAAATAAAATATACTTTTTTAAATCGAGTCAAGTTTTACTCACCTCTGACACCGTGAATCTTTAATTTATTTTTTTCAGATCTTTAACTTGTACCTACATAATTATGTATTTTATTGAAT